TCTTAAACATCAACATGCTTTTAACGAATGAACAGAATTTTTTCCTACAATTCCGCTTCAGTTTTAATTCTTTAGTATAATGTAAAACACTATTATAATATATCATAATACTTTTTTAAGTTTCATTTAATGTGTGGGTTCGCACTGATATTTTGTTTTGGCGATAAAATATAATATGTTATAGACAATAGAGAACAGATACAATTTTGTTTAATTAAAAAAATACTTTGATTTTTATAATTATGTTGTAGCACATGTAATATCATTTTTCTCAATGATAACGTTACCGCTTATAACGAGAATATGATAAGAAAATAGAATTATTTACAAAATTTAATAAATGTAATTAAAAAATTAAAATAAATGTTGTATAAATGAGGACTGATTTTAATCTATTAAAAAAGTGTATTATCCTACAATAAATTAGTCTTCTAAAATATTATTACTCGTAATTTATGTTAAAGACTTTATGCGATAAAAATGATAGATTTGAATTAATTATTGAACAAATTATATATTAATATATATTTTAAATCGTTTTATATTTATTTACAATGATAGTAACATATTATGTTTCATAAATGAGAAAATATTTGATAATCTAAAAGGTTGAAATTATTGGAGACTGATGAAGCAATAAACTATCTTACAAACTTTTAACAATATATAACTTAAATCAATTAAAAATATCTTGCAATATTATATCATACAATGGTACTTTTTACAAACGAATAACATATAAATTATGACACAACTATCAGCTTGCACAGATAATCATTAACGATCTAATCGTTTAGATTTTGTCATGATCAATAGCCTTGCGTTTTTCTTTCTCACCAAGTGAAGTAATTCTTTATCGGCCAAGTCAATTATAATTTTCTTTTTTTCTCCTTATATTTTATCTCAGTTGGGTTAATAAATGATTAATGTCATACTGCACCAAAGAATGCTCGCTTTTATTCTATTGCTGCAATCAGCTGTTGTGGTAAGATTCGAACGAAATTCAAGAAATATTGTGTTTCTTTTACAGATATAAAATTCAAGCTTTCAGCTGTGCAAGATCCATAAATAAATATTTTTTCTAAAATATTTGCAAACACTAGAACAACGCGTTTGTAAATTTTATAATTAATATATCATTGTTACTTGCTAAAAATATTTTAGTCTTAGTTTCATATAGAATACTTGTACATTCTATAGATGTATAATTGATTTTTTTCATGATGTTATTTATATACTTATTTTGTTGCGATTGAAAACTTTAAATGTATTTTTTTTTTTAACTATGGCAATAGCGTTTTTCATATACATGAAAATATGTTCTGTTTGGAAATGACGTGATACGATCGACATACGTTGTATCCATATTTATGCATTCGGGATACGTAATGCTTACGAGACAGTAGAATCGTCGTACTTGCAAATATTCTAACGGAATAACCCAATACATTTTCTATAAATTTATTAGATTGTCACAAGTTTATTCGATCGTGCGAACCATTTGTCACTTTTTGTGCAACCCCCCGTGACAATAGAATACACTACTAACAAAATTTTTGACTTTTAATCAAATATAAATAAAAAATTAATATTTTCCTATAATATTTATAATTGCAATTATAAAATTATTCATTATTACTAGTTGGAAGCGAACATACTTAATAGAATAAAATAATTAAATGAAACAATAAAAGAAGCTTATAATAACTAACAATGCAATTTAAAAATGAGAATTTAAGATGAAATTAATTAAATAATTAAAAAAAGTTATGCAATTGATATAATAAATAAATATATTTATATAAAATATTTAGATATTTGTATACATAAAATATATTTGTTTATACCTATAGCCGTTTCTGATGTATTCGCGAATTCGCATTTATTCATTACTACATTTTCAATTCTCCATTTGTCAATAAATTATATTAAAATTGAAAATAATATTTAATAATAAATAACATAAATTTCGTTGAAAATATATCTACCGATTTTTTAAAAAGATAATGGATCTTATAAGGTACTTATGCATTATAACATTAGTGTCAGTGTATTTATACTATAACAACATAAAATCATTATTAGACTTTCAATACACGTACTTTTTATTGTTGAATTATGAGCAGTAAAGATAAATAAACTATAGGAAAGTTTTAATTGTTTAATTTTTAACTGTTGAATTGGAGATTTTACATGCAATCAATTTACTTGGGATACTGATGTATATGTCAATAAATATTTTAAGAACTAATATCTATGTTATTTTGATAATAAAAATTTTTTCACGATTATTCTTTTAATCTACAAATTTCTCGAACAATACTAATATACAAATTTTTAAATATTAATAGTAATATATATGATAAGATATAGACTTTTTAATGATTTCTTGTAATTGTGTTAATAAAATAAAAACTACTAAAAAATCCATGTACTTCTCAGGAAGTGAAGTATGTTTTTAGTTTAATAACAAACAACATATTTTGAAATACAAATAATAGGAGGATTGTGTCAAATAAAAAACCGAATATTTACTTAATGAACAAACGTAAGGATATTAGAATAAATTTTATGCTTATACAATAATTAAATATATCGTTTAAATAAATCAATTTAAAGAAAGAAAAACTTTTGTTAATAATAATTTTATTCTATAATAAAAGAAAAAGTTTTCATTGAATAATATCATTACGTACATGCACGTCTTTCAGATACTATAATTCAATAATTATACTGAGTGATTTATATTCAAGAATATAATACAAACGATAAAAAATTCCATTTCTTTTGATAGTTTTAGAAGAAAAAAAATATAAATTAAATTTTTATGCTTTTGCTTCAAAATTTCTAACCTTTAATCTATAAATATGTTAACGCATCAATTAAAAATTTACTCATATTCAACCATAATATAGATATTCTTAAAGTTTTTTTATATTTTTATCGACTATTTTTCAATTAGGATAATCATATCTGATTAATTTAGACATCCGTATCATTAACGAGAAGTTGATATCAGAAATATATGTTCTCGTGATATAAAGTCCTTTTCAAATACACAATTATTTGTATCGGTGTGTATAGACATATTTATGCAATTGTACATGCCTGCATATATTTCTAGGCAATATAAGTTCAATATAAAAAGAAACGAGAAAACTTTCGTACAATGTATTTAAGAAAAATATGATAAATTAAAATTGGCATTACAATCATATACAAATTTCATATAGAAATTTCTATGATAATAAATACTTTCTTTATAAATATTAATATAAAATCATTAAATCTCATAAATAATATAAAAACATAAATTAGTAATAACAAAAAACAAATAAAACAATATTAAATATTAAAATTTTAATGAAAGTACTTATAATGAAACATAGACTATATTAAATATATATATATATATATATCTTTTAAAACCTTATCATTTTTAAGCACTTTATATATGTTATTTTACTATTTAATTATAATATCAGAAAAGAAAAGCTCATACAAGACATACAATTTGCATAGAAAATGGAAGTAATCAGATTTTTTTCTATTTCTTTGCTTAATTTTGATTGTACAGAACTTTGAAGAGTGGACGAACATCCAATAATTTTGGAAAAAGTAAACCATTGGCTTTTAACTTTTATCCTTCAGACTAGTTTGAACTTTAGTTAAAGGAACCCAGATTTATTTTGTTATTTGATAGAAGGGTTAATTTAAAGTTTTACTTGAAATAAGTTCATAAGACTACCAACAGAATTAAACTTTGATGACATATTGAAAAATTTTTGCAATCGTGAATGGTTGATTTTATTATCGTGAAAATGAAAGTAATTTGTATTAAAAGTAATTATATTAACATACATAACAATGTTATTTTATAGTATTCTATTCACATACATATATACAATTATAACAAATATACATATTTTTATAGGTGTTTACCTACATACAGATAATTTCTATTATATATTTATCATATATATATTTATCATATATAAACTACGTTCTCTTCAAATCCAAATAAGCTTATTTTTATACACATGCCAATTTTGAATCACAATTGACGTGTTATATTTAGCTCTCAATTTGTAAAGGACACTCATACATCGAGTGTTGTTTAACCTATTTTATATACGTAGTATTCTGTACGTGTTAATATACTAACTGCTTGTATAAACGAGTACATGTACACACGTGCGCACACATATTTGTGACTTGTATATAATATTTTATGTAAAAAAAAGCATGAAAATTCAGTTTTAAATAAATAAAAAATTTCGCTAATATCGCGCCATATCTTCGTGTCGCGTGTGTTAGCAGTCGATTTATTTAGGAGGAACATAAAACAGAATTGTAATATAAAATTAGTCTTTATTTTTTTAATGCAGTTATTATACTTGTCATTAATAATACATTGTGAACGCATTAGAGAAACTATTTTTAATAGAAACATATTTTGAACTACAATAAATATAATTTAATCTTTAATTATCCAACAAGTTAAGTTACAATTAAAAGTAAAACTTATCGTAATGATAAGGACGTTTTCTGATCTGATACAAAATTAATTACTAAGATCATATTTGTACGTTCATATTGCGAATTTAGGGAGATCCAGTCGATATTACCAAATATAAAATAATGGAAATACCATCACAAAAACATATTGAAAATCTTTGATGCATGAAACATTATATTAAAAGGACTCGACCAATCCCATCATTACCGACAAAATCCAAAATCCTTTAGAAAACTCAACAAGGTAAAGAAACGAAAAAGTATCGAGCACAAGCAATTCAGCAAATTCGAAACTAGGTTTATTAGGCTCCGTTACAGCTACATTGTATCCCAACTGTAATAAAACAAGTTCAAGGGACTCGAAACCTCTCAACTTTCTTAAACCCCCTGGCATAAAGAAATATTTTCCCCGAACTAGTTATGCGCGTACGTACTTTTACATACGTAATTAAAATTCTGAGTGATCTGTTAAATTGTTGCAGGTTACGTGGATCCGGCGTAAAAAGGACCACCAGCTGCTGACCGTTGGCCTGACGACATATACGAACGACGAGCGCTTTCAAGCTCGACATTTTCACCACAGCGAGGATTGGACCTTGGAAATTAAATACGTTCAACAAAGGGATGCCGGAACATACGAGTGTCAAGTCTCGACTCATCCGCCCACGAGTATATTTCTGTTTCTCGAGGTCGTTGGTAAGTCTATGATTAATTGACGTTGGGTGGCGTCCCCCGGATATTGTAAAGGCGCTTCGCACCTCCATGAGAATCTTTCGAACGCGCCTGCGTATAAGGAGCTTTGAACAGGTCGTGAATGTAGTAATAAACCTCAAGTTGAAAAATCATTAAGATCTTATCGTTCTGGATTTCTAATTTAATGGTGAAAAATGCGGTTATTTCGATGATTTATCGAGTACTTACTCGAATCGTTAATAGTTTCAAAGTTAGACGAAGAGAACTTTATCGTAGTTATAAAACAATATTGATATTTTTTTATTATGATTTAACATAATGTTTAATTCTTTAAAAACGTCTATATCAAACATTTTAATAAAGAAAATTATTTACACAATAGCATTTCATGAAATATTTTATTACCATAAAGTACTGACTAATTGCATTTTGAAGAAGCAAAATTACCATAAAATTTCTACTCATAAAAGTGTTCATAATATTCCGGCATTTTGACAATAATATGGACTATAAATTTATGGAAATATTAAAATTGGTTCAATACTAAAAGGAATGTATTTTCAGTATTATGTTGAATTTCAATCAAATATATTTTTGGAAATTATTGATAATAATAAGCTAAATTATATAATAATTAATTGTTCTAATAAATTATTCTCTACTTATGAATAATTGTGAGTTGTCAATTTTATCACGTATTACTGCAGTTATAATGTTTGAAATTAATATTTAATATAATTTTTTGTATATTTTATAAAACGCTTATTAAAAAATCCACTATAGTTTTTGAAAAACATTTCCTCAAATGTTACATGACAAATAAGAAAAAAATATTCAACACTACATTTTTTTTTTTAATTTCCTAATTATATATGTAAAATATCTTTTACGTTTTATTTTTGTAAAATATCAGTATAAAATTAATAAATTAATAAATGAGAAAACATAGTTTATTATAAAATTCAATTTTAGTTAAATTAAAGTCTCACGTATTAATATAAAATTATTATTATTATATATATATATATATATATATGATTTTTTGATAAAAAAATATGTACGGAATTATACATAATCATATCTGGTAAGTGAGGGGACCACTTTATGCCTTCATGAGTTAACTTAAGCTATGCAAATCCAATTACATAGTTGCTATAAACTTTTTAGACTTCCTTAAAAAGTTTCCTGCTTCAGTGTGATATACTGCTATTTTACTTGATATGAAAGTGTTTTACTAATTTATTTTTGTTTACAGGTAGAAAGAATTTTATTTATAAAAGATTTATAAGACTTCAACATTTTTTTAAAAAAGTACCTTATATTTACATTGGCATAATTATTAAAAATAATTTATAGCATACAGAAGAATATTATTGATTTATAAAATAAGCTTTATTTAAAATAAAAAAATGATTAACCTCTAGAATTTCATTATCAAACACTTCCATTTATGTGAATAAGAAGAATAAATTTTTATACTTTGTAGATAGAATAAAACATACGTAAACACGTCACTTGACGATTGCAACTAAATACAAAATATTTAATACATTTGAATAAAAAGTATAAAGAAGAAAATCTATTATTCAATCAAATACATGAGGTTGATCACTTTGAAGTATATCTGAACTGACTGCAGCTGATGCCTATAGTTAAAGATAACAAAATATAAGTTTTAATATAGTTGAATATTTTATTCTCAGCATTTAACAAATATATATGATTTTATAATTAGTTATAATTATTTATTTATAAATATACATTTTATTTATTTTATTTGGAGAATTAAGAAATATATTAATAACTAATAAAATTATTGCTAAATTATATTCCATATAAATTAATTTCCTACAGTTAAGCAAAAAAAGTACCAAAGGAAACGGCTTTTTGAAAATAATAAAAGATTAGGGAAAAGGTAAAAATAATAATATCTACCTTTAGAATTCAAACGCTATATATTCCGTTTCTCTGATCGACTAGTATGACCGATGTTTGTGAGCCTTTTTATTGGTCCTGGATTATTTTCTTGGAAGGACATACTATGAACGAAATACTTTGTGTATACGAGACTAACTAAAGAGTTGTTGATTCAAATTAAATATTTTGACATTACCAATATCTACACTATTAGTAATACATATATTTATTTTATTTTTTCGCTTATTCTTTATGGAATGCGATTGAAATGTTTGAAGAAATTTTTAAAATTGAAATATATGAATCCAATTTTATTATTTATATTATTAATTTATTACGGCATACAGCTACGAGTATACGTACAAAAAATTACTTCAATATTTAATTGAAATTAAGAGGGAGCATTTATTTCGAAGAATTTATCATAAATGAATACAAACCTTTAAAGTATTACAACAAGCTTACTTGGAAAACTAAAATTTCTATAGATAAAAATGTTTGATTATTTGTAAATCAAGCTTTCCGATTGTAGAAATTGAACGAGGGTAGATATTAAGAACACAATTCCCTACAATAGTAATATATATTTTCTGAAAAATTAAAAAACTTACACAATTTATTTTACGTTTCTTAACACGCAATTTTCATCGCGAGTGACGCGAGAATTCAAATACATTCGAATCCGAGGCTCATATATATATATATATATATATGTATATTTCCGTGGGTAGACGTTAAGCGTGATTAATTGACGATAAGTGTCTTAACGTAATACAGCACTCTTCACAACTGAATATACATATATATCGAGCTCACATGAATAATAAATCTACCTCCCCTCGAGGCAAGACTTTCACCGCCTTACTTAAAGGCCGCGCCCCAATATACCCGCTTAATTCCTGGCAGCTTTCTTGGGCTTCGCTCCGCTTCGGTTCGCGCAAGACGTGGCGAGTAGTTGTCTTAGCGTGATTTACTCACACTTGCAGAAAAGTAGAATAAAGAAGAAGACGCATTGTTTCGTCCTACCGGGACTTTGTTTTTGTCCTTTCTTTCTCTCTCCTTATTTCTTTTGTTCTCCATATATCTCGCTAGGATGCCGCCTTTTTTATACGACTTTTCTCCTTTCTTCGTTGTTTACTTACTGTCTATTGCTTTCCATGGCTTCATTGATTGTTTTTTCTTATTAAACTTCGAGGCACTTTGCATGTAACAAAGAGCGAGGGCCAAGTTTCTTTTTACGTGTTCGATCCTTTAACGCGGTCTGATTCGTTTACTAAATATAATACGTTTATTGCTTCGACTAGTGTAGAAATGTGGCACTTTTAAAAATGAAATAACGGAGGCTGAAGCGAATAAAGGAATAAACGTCAATGTGTCGAATTTCATATTTTTTAGGTCTTTGAAACAAGAGGTAGTCGGCATTTTGTGTAAAACAACGAGTTCCACATTTGGAAATCAACTTTTATTGATTGACTTGATTAAAGGAGTTTTTCATTTTTTTTTTTTTTGACACGTGCATATTATTTCGTTACCTTGTCTATATCCTATCTATCTATCTATCTATCTATCTATATATATATATATATATATATATATATACGCACGCATGTATTTATTCATATAAATTTGGTATATCAAATTTAAAGCATTCAATTAATAAATATTTTTTCTTTATTTTTCTATATTTTATGATTGTCTGTTAAATGGAGATGAATACTTACATAGCATGAATACTTACATAATCGATTCATTATAATAAACATACAATATGAAAAACTTGATGAAAAACAATGTGATATTATATATAAATCTAAAACAAATAAGTCTATATAAAAAGTTTCATATAAAAGATAATAATTTTGGGAAAAGAAAAACTTAATATATCAGTTCTATAATAATATTGGAAAAATTGATTGATTAAATGAAATTCATACATTTCTAAAGGTACACATAATTTAATAATGTTATCACTTATCAAAATAATGTAAATAAATCTAGAACAGATTTTATGATTATTATATATTTTAACGTATGTACAATGAATATAAATTTAGAACAGTGATCAATATAAAATAATATACAGAAGTTGATATATTCATTGACAATGTAAAAATAGTTAAGTCAAGTAGACGGAATTTCTCAGTAAACATTATACGAAATTTCTAGAATACAAATGAAATATGATAATATATGGGCTTTAACATATTATATATTATTTGAATTTTCTTAAGCACTCTTATTTACAGAATATATAAATGATAATTACGGGTAGTCTTGTATCTGGTTTGTGGAAAACAAGGTTTCAAAGTTTTTTTTATGAATTTCATAAGAAATAATTAATGAAAATAAATGTTAAGCTATTCATATTAATATTAGAAAATGAAATTTATGTTAATGATTTAAAAATAGCATTAGTAATTTATTGCAAGATAAATGTCGAATTTTTATCCTATCTATATACTTTTATTTATTTATTTATTAAAGTTCTATTATTTTGTTATAGTTATTTAACTAAATTATAGTAGAATCAATAGAATCCCATCAATTGACTTAAAAATATTTAAGAATATCACTAAATTTATTCCATATAATTATAAAAGAAATTAATTGCTTTTGTAACGTATTGTTTTAAGAATTAAGTTGCAGCATCGATAAATACATTAATAAGCATGACAATGTGCTCGTAACAATCAAACAATAAAACTATAAAATAATGTAATTATTATGATATAATATAAATTCCTATTCATTTTAAATGAATAATCTAAATATCTAATCATCGTTGCATACGGTGAATAGTAGAATAATATGAGTTCCAATGATATCGCAGCATTAGGAGGACTAACGGTAAAGATTGGAAAATAAATCGAAACATCCAATATATTTAAACGTCACATTTATTCTAGGCAACAGTGAGAGAAAGGAAAAATCAAGAAGATTCAGGTTAGGCGGCGATGCTATCATTGCATTGGTTCAGCTGCTGGCTGCTGATGCTGCGTCGGCGGCTCTGCAAATCCCAGCGGATACCGACTGTCGTGGATAGCGTTTCCTTGCTTCCTTTCACTATGCCTTGGCGCTTCGTCCGA